ATGTACGTGGATTTTGGGCCCTCTCCTTAGCTCGTTGCTTTCCTTTCCTATTTTGCCCTTATATTTTGGGGTACATTAGATATTAGGATTTTATTTTATATTTTTATTTAGCATTTATATTATGGGGCAAAATTAGTCTTAGAATTTATTTAGGGACTTAACCTTGACTTGTAAAGTCAACAGTCCATTTCTTTCATTTTCTAAGACTAAGGGTACTTTAGACTTTTTGGAGAGATGAGAGCCATTTCATTTGGGCTGCATCTAAGGTTCATTTAGGGTGCATTTGGGCTTGAAATTTTTGGCCAAATGCTCCCAAGAAACCCTAGATGCTCTCCTCTCTCTATAAGTACTCTAGTCCCTCCACCTTGTACTCACTTTGGAATATATGCATTTTGAGTGAGCCTTGTTGCCTCAAAAGCCTTCCTTAGTCTCATAGGACTCCACGACCACTCTCCTCTCCTCTCCACCCTAGAGTGTGCTTGAGTCCCCTTGAGTGGCCTCCACCATCCCTTGGTGGAGAGAGCTAGCCAAGAGCACAAAAAACACCTTCCACCCTTCTTTTCTATTTTCGCCCACTTCACCTCCACCCCTCCAAATATTTTATTTCACCACCCTTGAGGAAACATCCATCCATCTTCCTTCTTCCTAATCCGTGGAGAAACTTGGAAGCCAAAGAACACACCATGTAAGGAAGAAGCCCATCAATAAGAGGAAAAATGAAACCAAACAAAAATAAGAATTATAAACGAGTAAAAGTAGTATACATTGCATCAACGTGCAATATTAAAGTCAAGCAAGGAGGAGGAGTTTGCATAGCACCAATTTTTGGTTTAACGCAGACCCTGTTTTAGTAAGAGCATTATTAACACAACCATTTCTTTTGCATAAGTGGTGGACCGAGCATGTTATTAATTGATTAAGTAGCCTTGTATAATCATGATCTCATTCGCATAGAAGTGATATCGCACCAACTCAACCACAAATAGAGAATTTAAATAACAAATTAGTAATGATAGTATTGAAGCATTGACTCAAGTTTAAATTTAACTGTTAGTTTTTAAGCGTAAAACCAGTTTGCGGATGATAAGAGTAAAATCATCGGTGCACCAAATATCAACATCGAATCAAACCAATAATCATAAACATACATATATTAAGCTCTAAATGTTTAAAGACTTAAATACATATGGTTTGAAATTTGAAAGAGTTAAATACATATGCTAAGAAAGTTCAAAGACTAAAAACAAAAATTCATAACATAAATTGCTTATGCTGAAGCAATATGATTCAGAGAAATCACTGAGGAGAAAATCATCTAGATAACGCTGAAGGTGCCAATTATACATCATGTCTACCATACACTAAATTATAGTGTTGTTGGCGTTCATCAATTTCTTGCAATCGACGATCCATACACTGAATGACTGATAGGATATCAATATTGTTTACCTGTACATGCGGTTGTGTGGTGAAATCTTGGTCCTCTATCTCCTCTTCCTATGCTTTAGGTTCTACCTCCTTAGGAACAAGTTGTTGTTTGGGTACATTAATCAATGACTACAAGGGGAAACACCATGTGGTTTCATCCTTGAGTGTATAGTGTTGGTTTGGTAGTAAGTGATTCACTCCAATTTGGTTAATAATGAAATAAAACCTACCATCATTGTCTTTAGTAATACACTGCATTGCATAACAAGTATTAAAATTAATGCTTCTAGGAGTTCCGGTATCCTACAAATGGTCCAAAAATGAGGTATAGCCCAAATTTTTAGCAATTGTAGTTATCAACCCCCCATTGACAATATTATCAAATCTAGTGTTTGAAATATTTTACAATTGTCTAGCCAAATATGCACCAGAGTTGATCTTCTCATCCTTATTTTTCATCACTTCCCATATAAACAATAAATCAGTTTGGCATACCTACTACACTTTCTCCTATATCCACTCCTTTTCAATTGAGTGTCATCCTTCTTCAGTTCCCATGGCTCCAAATTTTTTCTTTTCTTAGGGCGTCCTGGAATTTTATTTGATGGCGGTGGAAGAATATTAGTGCACCATGTCTTGGTCCATAGTTGTTGTCCATTTACTGAATATATCACTGATTGATATACAGCTTCATATGTCACCCTCTTGTAATATTCTGGCACAAACTCCTTTGGATCCAAATTCATATACCTCATACATGATATAGCATGGTAGCAGGGCAATCTTGTCAACATCCACTTTCTACAGCTGCATTCCTAGATTTGCAAGTTGATAGTATATTTATCTCCTGTCAAGTTAACATTTTTTACATAAAAAACTTGCTCTCTAGCCCAATTGAAAACAATATGTTAACTAATTATAAACCAAAAATGGGTTAATTTAAACAATTAAAATGCTCTAAAATATACCTTGGTATCCACCATTTGCTGAAATTACTTTCCATTTCTATCTTCTTAAGTATTTTAGGAAGAATGTCTCCTTGATGTAATAGGATGTTTTTCCTATTTTTAGCCCATCTGTCCATCAAGTACAATCGAATGTCCTCTAACATGATAACAATAGGCTTTCCTCTAGCCTCAACAATGACTGAGTTAAAACATTCACTAGTGTCATCCAGGCCACTTAGTAATTCTTCCAATTCATATTCTTCATCAGAAATACCCCTACCCATGGAATGGGTTTTTTTTTTTATCTACTCCACATTTGTCACCTTTGGACAAGTCATCATTAGAATCATCATCTAAATCGTCATTTGAATCATCATTACCAAACGCATTAGTATCCTCAACTATAGGGTCTTTAGTAGGCTCAATAGTCTTCTTAGGCCTACCTCTCTCCTTACTGCTACAACTAGGTTGTTGTTCAGGTACTTGTTTAGGGACATGTATTTTCAAAATAATTCAATATATCTAACTCACCACTATTAGTAACCTATCTTACTTCCAAAGGTCCTTCAAACCTATCAACCGAAGCATTATGTATAGGTTTAACACTTACCTCAAATAAATCAATATATGAAATTTCTTCTTCATCGATATCACCTAATGTACGGAAGGATAACTATAATAACTATCTTCACTTTGTTTGTCATCACAAACATCATCACCCTTTCTAGGCCCAGTTTCATTACCCACAACAGTCTCAAGCATACTTTCATCAACAACAACAATCCTAGGCCAACTCTCAACCCTAGCCCCACACTCATCAACAACACCACCCTTTGGCACACTCTCATCAGCAACAACAGCCCCAGGCCCACTCTCAGCCCTAGCCCCACACTCATCAGCAACACCACCCTCTAGCACACTCTCATCAACAACACCACCCTCTGGCACACTCTCATCAGCAACAACACCCTCTATCACACTCTCATTAGCAACACCACCCTCTTGCACACTCACATCATTAGCAACACACCCAACCCCACAATCAACACCAACATCAACCTCTGTCCCAATCTCATCATCAACAAAAGGCCCAGGCCCACTGTCATCAATAACTACATGACCTTTCCCACTGTCATCTATCATAAGCCCATCATTTTCAAGCCCACTATCACTAGGCACAGGACCATCATTTCTTACAACAATAGGTGATGGTAAACTTTGTATAATTTTAGGTTCAGGGATGTTCGACATATAATCTAACATTTTCGAACTTTCTTGCAATTCTTATCATTTCCATGGCCCCCTTATCATCCGACAACAATTTCAGCTCATTCTCAAAATCTGCCCCACCCACAAAATACCACATCTTATCCACTATAATATATCCCATTTCTCTTAAAATATCCAATATTTCATAATAAGACCATCTATTAGGGTCACAGGACCATGTAAAATCATGACCCACATAATCTAACTTCCCTTTATTTACAAACTTCCCCCCATGATGGACAACTACCACAAAATACTCATCCATATCAAGCAACTCCTATAAAAATCTAAAACACACATATTTTTATACTAGCCTATTGTAATGTATATTTGCAATTATAAAAAAATAATTAATTAAAAATTAAGACAATCATAATTAATTAATATAAACAATTAAATATTCATAACACATTCATAACATAATATATGCATACATAACAACCAACACCCTAGTGGGCCAACATAGTAATAAAAGGAACATTAGTCGGCCAATATATGCAAATAAATTAGGATTAGTGTATCACTGTATGAGTGGGCCAACATATGCATGTATACGTGGGTCAACAATGTACAAGTCAATGGGGCCAATATATGCACAACACACAACAACATTTTTTGGGGCCACACAACAACATTAAATGTTCACACAGTAACCAAAATACACCACAAATTGCCACGAACCCATTATTTGGGACCACACAAAAAACAAAATCTATCTAATAAACATCAAAATGCAACTCATACCCCAAGCCCACTCTTACTCCTATCCCTAGACTCGCCCCAATAAGAGCCTTCAATCAAACGTGAAACCAAAAAAATCCTAAAGTCAACACTTACCCGATTAAAACAACACCCAAACACGACTTCTTCTTCTACAGATCAATCGCGAATGAATGCGACTTCTTCTTCTTCAAAGACCTAAGAACAATTCTCTCTCGTGACTCACAGTGAGCGAATGAGGCTTCCTAAAAACAAGAAGACTTCTTTCTCGCGATTTTGGGAAAGGAATGGCTTAATTCACGTTGGAAATCCACTTTGGAAATAAACTAAATAATCACTAATTTATTTATTTTCTACATGGAGACTCCTAAACAGCGTTTGAGAAATTTAGATGGAAGGCAAACATTGTTAACATTTTTGACAAGTGAGACTAAATTGAACCTAAAAATTAAAGTGAAACTAAATTAAAACTTTAAAATATTATAAGAGACTAAATTAAGGTTTTAGCCTAAATAATAATATTTTGATAGAATAAATTGTGTTATGTAATATATTAACAAAAAAAGATAAGCTCAACTTTTCACTAAAACAAAAAATTAAAATAAGATATGATACACATATATACTTTTTATTTGAATATGAAACAGTTTTTCAGGACTAATATTTAAGTTTGTAAAATTTCTAACATGAATACTCTAAAAAAAAGTGACATGAAAATTGTAGGCAGCGAATAGAGAACAGAGAGTGGCGTTATTTACAAAGTTATCTATAATCATTTGTTTTAATTTGACACAGGGATTAAACTTTTTTAAGATGAAGCATTTACATGTCCATCATAATATGGTGTGTATCCGCAGTAAGACCATGTTGATTGGTGAATGAGAGCTGCTGGATCAAATGCAGTTGTCGTACACTCCAGGGGAATCAAATTTCATCCGCCCCTGCATAACAAAGTAGAACGTGTGAAATGTGTGATGATGTGTAAATGAATTAATTAAATGAGTACCTTCTTTTGGTTCTGTTGGCGTTGATGGGGTTGAGGAATGTTCAGACCTGGGTTCACTCAACACTTCCTGTTGCATGGAAGTGGTGCTGTCTTGGGCAAAGTCTCTGAAAAGTTGGAGCTGAGGCAACACTACTGTGGCAAGGTCTGGGCGATCCTTTCGTCTGAGTTGTGCACATTGGAGAGCGATGTTTGCAAGGCACAAGGCTTGCACGGGAGGCCAGTCCGGGACACAAGGGTCAAGCATTTCTGAAAATGTGGCATTCTCAATGGACTCTTCAACCTTATGAGCCAACCCCATTGCAGTCCTACCCGTCAATAACTGAAGAAGAATGATTCCTAGAGAATACACGTCAGACTTCACTCCAAGCATTCCTGTTTGTTGATACTCAGGATCAATGTAGCAAAATGTCCCCGCTGCCGAAGTCATGTGGCACTGTGTCACGTTCTCAGCAACAGCTGGTAGAAGCCTCGCCAATCCCACGTCGCTGATCTTGCTTACATAGTTGTGATCTAGTAGAATGTTTCCCGGTTTCAAGTCACGGTGCACCAAGGGTTCTGGCTTTGTCTGATGGAGGAACAGTAATCCTGTTGCTATCTCTGCAGCTATTCTAAACCTCACCTGCCAACACATCATTGGATTTGGAGCTTCCTTCTTCCCAAATAGACAATCTTCTAAGCTTCCATTAGCCATATATTCATAAATCAGTACGCCATGCTCTGGACAAGCTCCTAGAAGAAGCACCATGTTTGGATGTCGTATGCACCCCAGTATGTTCACCTGCATTCAGTTCAGATAATAACAAACTTCACTTCTTCCCTATGTTTGCTTGCACCGCACTCAAATACAAAATAGTGGTTTAGAATTACTCATTTGCACTGGTTGGTCACCTCTTGCTGAAATTGTGACTTCCCTTGAGCAGAATCTGGACGCAGAACCTTCACAGCCACTTGAGTGTGATCAAGGTTACACTTATACACAGGGCCGTACCCTCCTTCTCCTATTTTCTGAGATTCGGAAAACGAGTTGGTAGCTGTTTCAATCTCCTCAATTGTGTATTTCCTATATCTTTTGTCAATATGGGTCAGATCATCCAATAACTTCCTCATGTCCTCTGCTTCTTTAAGAGCTTTCAGTTCAACACTTGCTCTTCTATTTGACTCCACCCTTGCAATTTGCTTAGCGGCTTCAGCTGTGTCCTTCGCTGCTTTACTTCTTGCTTTCTCTTTCTCTGCAATTGCCTCTGCTGCTTCCTGGGCCAATCGTGCCTCGTCTAATTTCTTTTCTTCCTCAAGTCTCCAGTTGTGCAGTTCCACTAACTATATTACCGCCAAATCTCAATAACAATGTCAATGGCACTGGCATATACAATACAAATTATATCTTTACCTTCTGTTGTGCTGTTAGTGCTTCTCTGCATGCAGTACTGTACATTTCCATTGTTTGCTTTAACTCCAGCTTCAACCTCCTCATATCAGCTTCTACATCATCCTGAATGTTTTAGAATAAGAAATTAATAAATTAGGAGATTGTGGATAACTAGGGTAAAACCGACCTATAAATAGTTAAAAAGAAAGTGCTCACAGAGTTCTGCAAGCCTGCAGAAGAAAACGATGTTCGGCTACTTTCCTCTGAAAATGAAATTTCTGGTGAACTGGGGTCAACGTACTTGAGTCTCATACGGGTTGATCCCAAGCTACGATCTGAACTGGTTGAAGTTCGGGAATCAACATAGTCATAGAAAACAGAGGATGAACGCACACTGCTGGGCCTCCCGGAGCTTACAAATGATATGTCAGAGTCAGATTCTGTGAAGTCCATGCCTGATCTTCCACTCAGCCCTATTCTTCTGCCAAATTGTGACTTGCTTCAGTCATAATCATAAATTGGAGACGAAATGATTTATATTAATGCTACTGTCTCATTAGTCATTATCATATAAAATGCCTTAAATGCAAAACTTACTTCATGGATCCACCCTGCCAGCTCGAAGGTTTCATTGATGTCCTCTTGTCTGCAGCATTACAACATGTGATTCTCATGTTTGAATAAACTTTTCAAATAGCAATAGAATAGTTAGGGAGAAAGAAACCTTTGAAGCTCATAGATCTAGAGGATACGGGAGATTCATTTGCATTTTCTTCATTTAGAATCTCTATATGCCTGAGCAGTGGGGATGCATGTGGGGCTGTTCGAGTAGCACTCCGAACCGAAGAGATTCTCCCCTTAGAAATGACATACACAGTGCAGAAATCTGGTGCCGCCTTTAATATGTGGCTTGGTATACTTGACTTGAATCTACATTGAGTTCAAGAAAGCTGCATTAATCACCAGTGACTATGGAATAAGGATAGAGTTTTTTGGTTGTTCCTTAGTCCTTACCTAATAAAGCCATGCCTGGACGCTGCACCGAGCACCAAATTGTCAATTGCAGCATAAGAGACATATTCTGTTATTCCCTTGACCACATCCATATCTTCAAGAAGGACATCAAGGCATTTTATCTGATGAAATAATTAGAATAAGTTGGTGCATGTTGTATAGGATTAAGTTGTGAAACATACATACATACTGTGAAGGTGACGGATCCAGAAAAATTATCAAAGTAGGGCAAGAAAATATTTTATAATATTTTTTTTATTAAAAATATAATAATTTTTAAAAAGGTATATTGTTATGATTAAAAAATTTAATATATCACTTATTTTTTTATAAATTAATTTTTTTTTTATAAATAGAGTGATAATTTTTCCTTTTCTATCTGATATTATATTTAAATGTGATGTTACAATTTTTAGTAACTTATTTAATTTTAGAGGAATAAAATGATATAAAATATTAAGATAAAGATAATATAATTACTATTTATTTTCATTTATATCTCTTCTAAATTTCTATGTTCATTTAAAACAAAAATATTTAATAAGAACAATGCCTATTTTTTTTATAAGAGTATATTTATTTTTTATTAAATATGTTTAAGTAAAAAAAATAAAAACTTTGTTTGGCAATTATTCTCATTTATCTTAATTTGGATAATTTCCTACCAACACATAATGTATATATACAAGATTAAAAAGGTTAAAAACTAAAATAAAAATTGAAAAATAACCTGTATTTTTAAACTAAATTGTGACATTTTTAATGAATAAAGAAGTAATAAATCTTTCAGTCAAAAAATAAAATATATTATAATAATAATAAAAAAAATTACGACAATTTTGTCATAAAGTGAAAGAAATTATACTATAGAATAAAATATAAATGAAATATTAATGTATTTTAACATATTAGATATAAAAACAATCATCGCAAAAAATGTTACATATAATCACATACAAAAAAGTGTTACTATAGTCTATATTTACATTTTTTTAATAATATATTAACATAATATTTTAACATATTAGATATAAAAATAATTATCACAAAATATGTTACTTATAATTACATACAAAAAAATGTTATTATAGTATATATTTACACTTTTTTAATGATATATTAATATATATTGTATCTATAATATATATAAAAATAATTTTTAATAATAAATATCATATCTTTATAAGATATATGTCATTACTTAAATAATTTTTTTTATAATAAATTAAAATGTAACTTATATATATATATATATATGCCCCACTCTCACATGACCTGCATACATACATCTTTGCGCGAACAATAGCAATGGAAAGTGCGGAATAGATCCTTTGTAGTATTGACAAGTTGGTCTCTCTGGGGAGATGCAGGTGGGAAATTGGTGTTGCACACGATGGCCTGGCTGCCTCCTATTGAAAAAGAAAATGGGGTGAGAATTTGAATAAGGTAAAGTTGAATGAAATGTTATGTTATTACTAGAAAGAGATGGGGAGGTGGTGTGCAAGACGTGGATTAGAACAAGCGTTTGGCCTTTGGAAAGAAGAGTATCAGCAGCCCATTTGAGAGCGTGACGGCTCCCTTTGTTGTCCTTTTCTATAGCAACTCCCACCAATCCATTTCCTCCTCCTCCTCCCTTTTTTATCACTGATGTTCTTGTACTTGGAAGCCACATTTAATTCAATTTCCTCTTCCCTTTCCCTCTATTCTGCACCAACTTAATTCGATTTTACTTTTCATCTGCATGCCTAGCTGTTTGGAGGTTTCTCGTTATGCATGCCCCAAACTGGAAAACCATTTATAGAAAACTATCCCCCAATTTATGGATAATCAATCATAATTCTCTTATTGTCTTATTATGGGGAAACAAAAAAGGAAAGGATAACAAGTATTATTATTTCTTAAGAACTAGGAGTGCCAACAATAGGACAGACACAAACACGCTCCGCTCCACAAATATTTGTGTGTGGGAAATAGAGGCCCAAAAGGAAAATCACTAGTTCAGTACTGACTGCCTAGCTAATAAGTACACAACCCAGAACTCCAATAATAATAATTATTATTATTATAATCTTACCTAGTACCATTATTTGTCCTTTATCCAAATTGTCAAAGGTTTAAATCTTAGATTTTGGATATAAAAAAAATTATGTTAAGAGAAAAGTATTCATTTTATATGCATTTACAATCTTTAATAAAGACTAATCACTACTTTTAATATTTTTCATTTCTCTTCATCTTTCTTTTTATTACATCATATTATCACCTATTGTATTTATATTTCTCTTTCTATTATCTCTCTTCCCCTATATGCTTAATAGTATTTGAGGTTTTCAAATATATTTTTTCATATTACAAAAAGGTATGTTATTCATATAATAATTTATATAATAATATTTTTTTCTCTTAATCTCTCTCTATCATATTATTAATTATATTTTATAGTTTTCTTCTTCTATTCCTTTTTTTATCTCTATTTATTGTAAAATTTGTTTTACAAATTGTTATAAGAATCATTCTCTAATACATAAGGCTTTGATGCTATTCATGAGTAGTCGAAAAGAAAGTAAAAAAAGAAAAAGAAATACCACAACATGATAAATATTGATATAGCTTGTTACATAATTTAAAAAAAAATGACAGATGGATAAATATATATTTTTTAAGGATGGATAAATACGTATACCCACACAAAAATATTGGTCAAAATGGCATGAGATTGAACTGGGTAAGCCATATTTGCAATTAAATAGTTTTTTAGCACACAAAGGATTTGCATTCATTCTATTCTACGGATTTATTATTTTACATATTTCAAGTTTAGTGTCCTTTTTAAATTAAAAAAACTATTTTAAAAGTAAAACCACAACTTACACGAAGCAAATCAAGCTGGATGTTTTAGCTAGCAAGTAGCAAAGCATGGACTATCATTATCTTGTTATTTTCGATTCAATTCCGAATTTCCTGTTCATCCCTCTGATCCGTATCTTTGAATTTCTTTGTGGGTATTACTTTTTTGGTTGGAGCATAGTCACTCTATGTAATAAAAAGAAAGGGTATAAAAAAAGGTTATACCTTTTTAACAAACTAAAAGGAATAGTTTACTGAAATGCAGTACGAAATAGAATCTATAAGAGCCGATAAGATCATATTTTTCTTTAAAGAAACAAAGATCTTAGAATATTGTACCTAAAGCTGAATATTTTTTTCTTTTATCATTGGTTTGAACGGGGTCCGTTATCCATTGAAGAACATCATATCTATACATGTACAACATACAAGCCAACATGAAATGAAAAAAAATATTACAATAAATGTAGGAAATAAAGATACAGGAATATTTATTAAGCTTGATTGCACAAGTTGTTTGAATTTATTTGCCCCATTGTTGATTAAAGTTGAGCGGAAGGCAATGGAACCCGCCTACAATATTCAGCTAGAGCCCACATTGGATAAATATCTCTGTACATTGGGTAATGCAACATGCAATTTTTCATAAATACTCCAGTGATTTCCTGCCACAAACAACGTAGAATTAGACATAGTAATAGAAACTCAATCTGGAGCATCCTGCATCCATAATTTTTCACATACCTGTTGGGGCCAATCACCCTCTTCCAATTGAGAATTGATAATCAACTTTGCAGCACGATGAAGAGGAGTAGGGTCTCTCTCTGCCTGCCCGGTATGAATTAGACCCATAAGAGCCCATGCTGTATGTACAACATTTGATCGACTTCCTTCAAGAGGTACGTATATCTGCATTGTTAGTATATTAATTAGTATTAGTTCTTGATTGGTGAAGTTTAAGAATGGCTATTTAATTAGTATATTAGGTAGGAAGTACGAACCTTTTTTGGGCTTGAAAGATAACTCTCTCCCCACCCACCATCTTCTCTCTGTGTTCCAAGTAGAAATTTAACAGCTTTGCGAATGGCAGCACAGTTGTTGTAAGTTTTGCCAACAGCTGCTAGACCACCAAGGGCAAACCAAGAACCATAAGTGAAGCAAACTCCCCAGTTTCCATACCATGAACCATCAGCTGTTTGTGTCTCTTCAAGGAACCGAACTGCATTGCTTATGAAATTCTCTATCTCTTTCTTCCTATGCCCCGGATATAGCTTCTTGAACAAAACTAAAGCTTGAATTGCAGATCCAGTGCACTCAACGTATTCATGCTCAACTACTATGTCCTCAAAAAATTCTGTCGGATTCAGTAACTGAAATTACCCACAAACCCAATTAGTTTATTACTTACATACATATTGAATTATTAATTAATAATAATCCAATGCTTACTTCCAACCACTCTTGAGCTCCTGCTGGTTCCCATGCTGCTAAACCACCTTTTTTACTCTGCAATAACAAACATTAATTAAAATATTTCATCATATCATGATATCAACATTATTTCTCATTTATAGACAATTTCATAACATTAACCATTTCAGTACTTGCCTGAAGCGACAATAGCAGATTCACTGAATCATATAACCTTTCAGCTTCCATCTTTTCTCCCACAATCTCCGGCGGCAACATTGATAGAAGTAGACAGCACTAAAACACAGTAGAAATTTAGTTAAATTATCATATATTTGTTGTGATTGACAAAGCTTATCAACAAATTAAGTTGTTAGATACCTTCAAACCTTCTGCAGTGCAATCAGAAACTTGCCATCCATGGTCTTGATCAGAGAATGTCCAAGACCCTTTAGAAATATGACGATGCATACTCTTAAAATCTCCTGAAGGGTTATCCCTCACCTGTGAAATAAGAATGTCAATTCATTATAGCTAGCAAACATATTGTTCAATAATCTAATGAACACTAACATAATAGCCAATTATAAATATGCACTTCAATTAGAATAATATAATTATACTAGCTAATGTAGCTGGGTAAATTAGTTAGTGACGGCGTTAATTAATCAGTCATTTAGTTTTTACTTGGTTAAAATCACCTTGTAAATAGGATCTAGGCATTTTAAATCTCAATTGTATAATTTGGATAAACTAGGTTCATTGGCAAATTTACCCTCCTTAACTATGAAATAGAATTGTGATTCTTTTATATACTTAACCTGAGACTTCTTGATGAAATCATGCCCTTTTGCAAGTGCAGGACCAATTTCCTCAATTAGGTTAGTGGCAAGTAAAGCTTGAACAGCAAAGCCAGCATCCCATTCTTGGCTACCAAAACTCTGCATTATATAGGTAAGTGCATTAGTTAATTAATTGATTAACTAATTAATATATCCCATTGGTTATAATAGTACACACACATACTTGCATGGTCATTCCATCTTCAGAAACCCATAAGTAATCTGGGACTCTTGCAAGATGCTTCTTGAAAGCATCTCCATTTGGATCTTCCACCCAACAAGCAAGCATGCATAAAACCTGAAAAATATATACATGTTATTTGTGGAGTATGAATGAATTTCCTTTTGAAGAGGAAAATAAAAGGTTCATTTTACTCTTAAGGCTAATTGCTATGATACCTACCTTTTCCACACACCCGATGGTTAGGTATCGACTGTTCTCATCTTCATAATGAATATGTTTCATTGTTACTTGAAGGGCCTTTTCTCTAACAAGTTTGTTGAAAGGCCAACGAGTAAGTAGTGGCTCAGTGAATATGTATAAACTATCCCATATTAGATCTTGTATCAAAGGATGGGGATAGTAAAGATCTTCCTGTAATTGATAAAATAGACAATTATCACTTTCGTGATAAAGAGGATATGTACATACACACGTTATGATTAATTAAAGATATCGTCTCTTACCTTTGCACATTGGTGACGTGCTTTCTTCCAATTAACTTTTTCATAAGGTTGAGTAAAGAGCTCCTCTCTCAATTGTAAGATGAGTGGTGTGATTGGACCCACAAACCTCTTCCCATATAAGTAAGACATGGGCATGTACACCAATCGACAGTAACACCACATTTTAGCTACAAATAAATAAGGTGAAAAATGAGATTCAATGATCAAACATTTTATGTTCAACAATTTAAATATATATATAGTGTTTCATAGAGAGTGACAAAATAAAGTTAATTAACTCTACCTGGATGCATAGGAAGAAATGAAGGAAGGATCCAAAACTCTGGGGGCATTGGGTTGCTTCCACACCAATCAAATACACCAAGTATCTACAAGAGTAAGGTCCATTTAAATTAGTAACATACATAGTAGTTTTGTTAGATTGTGTATTTATATTTATATAAAAAAAAAAAATAAATATATATATATATATATATATATATATATATATATATATTTCTCTCACCCATCTTAAACTATATCATTTGGGCTTTATTTTTACTACAAGTGTAAGGCCCGATATCAACTCCATCAGCGTCATATGTAGATAATATTAAGTAAAATATAACAATAATTAAAATAACTTGTACGTCCAATTATAATTGACTCATCAATAATTGAAAAGCATAAAATTCAAGTGATACTTTTTTTTAAACAAAAAAATAATAATTAAAATGGAATACAAGAAGCACTGATCTTATCCACTTACAAAATTGTGTATTTAGCATGATGCATAACAAGTAACATCAATGTAGATAAGATTAAGCTATACAACAACAATTAAAATAACCTCTTCTCCGATTATAATTGACTCATCAATAATTGAAAAGTTTAAGAGTCAATATCTGCAAGTGCAAGTATATATATATATATATATATACCGAAAGCCAAGTTTTTCCCCATGAAGGTATGTGTGTTACACCACCATGATCATGAATCCATTTTCTTGCTCTAGCACA